CTTTGAATAGAAACAGGTTTTTCTGCTTGGCAGTAGGAACATTACTGTTGCAAGTAGAAATGTTCTTCTTAATGCTTACAATCTTGGATGTACATGGTTGCCTTCCAAAGACAAAAATGATTCCAAGTTAGTCACAATTTCAAATACAAGAAGCAATCTTTTTCAATGTAGGAATTGCAAAACAACTTATTTAGCAAAAGGTTCATCAAACAGTGAAAACTCAAAATTATCAAAAGTTGCATGTTACTGTTTCAAAATAAAAGAAAATCAAAAGATGCAGTAATCCTAGCTTGAGTTCATCCAATTCATCCAAATATAATCTGAAACAAAAAATTTAGAAAAAGAAAAAAGAAGGATAGAATAGAAAAACATTAGCTGATAGGATAGATGAGTGACCAATGACAACAACGGATATATTTCAAAGGGCTGCGAGTGATCCTTGAGTTGAAAGTAGTGTCCATCAATACTTTGAATGGAGAGGTGTTCCAATTCAATGTAAAATCTAGAACACTGCCATCCGACCAGCTGATAAATCGTGGCTTTAATCATTTAGGAAATGCAGCAGAAGGTGAAAAAAGCTGTACAACAGACCTGATGATAAAAGATCAGTTCTGGCAGCTCTTCCAATTGGACATAATGCTTCGTTGGGCTTTCTGGCTGATATGTCAATGAGGCAAGTGGTTAGCACGTGCTCCTTAAGGCCATAAAAGTGAGTTGCGTGGAAGCAAAATTGTCCTGAGGCTTCCTGCAGAAGGTATCAACAAACTTCCGTAACTTGGACCGCTTCTTCTCTTCTGTATCCACTGAAAAGGCTAACCATTACGCTAAATTTTCATTCTTCCCCAACAACACTGCTATTAAACAAAATCAGAAATTCAATAAAAAAACAGTGAATGTGTACATGAGGAAAGGGTGCTAGGAATGTAAACAGTATATAAGATCACAATAATGTATTTTCCAGTTGTTAGAAATTTATACTTATATCCAGAACTTGAATCAGGTAAGCTGATGATGAGCCATTCCTCTCAACAAACCATAGTTGTGGTTCAAACATTAAATTTAAAGGTGCTCTGTCAAATACCAAAATAGAAGCAGGTGTAACAAGAAACAACAAACACAGACTATGACAAACCAAAGGAATATTTTGTCTTGAGATGATTAGCTTGAAACCTGCAACAGCATCAAGGAGAGAAAATTGAACATCACCTGCCTATGATAAGCATGAACATTTGGTGAATTATCAACGTTCAGTCAATCAGGTTATTGCATTTCAAAAAAGGAAATAGATGAAATACCAGATTACCCCCATCAGATGCACATGCTCGGGTGGTTAACACCCTCCACCTCCAACTCTTAATTTGTAGTTGAGATTTTCATCCTAAATTATTGAAATCGGAAAGCCCCTCCCATTTTCAACAATTAAGAAATCTTACAATTGAAGGCAAAGGTTCATAGTAAAAGTGCAAAATAATACACAGAACAGAAACGAATCCAGAAGGAAACATCAATAAAGATAGAAAAATCACAGAATTGATTCGACCAACTAAGATTTTCAGAATTCAACAAGGTGTTAAAGAGTGACTTGATTCTATTTCTGTTGGTCTGGTTTATATTGAAGATTAAATACTATCCCTTGCAGTTGAACTAAAGGATAAAATCCGCCAGCTGCAGTCCATCCTATCGTAAACCCAGAAATCTCAGTGAAGAAACCAGAAACCCCCACCTCCACCCCTCCGAATTTCCATCAAGAAATCATACATGTAGAACCAGAAATCAGATGAAAACATCTTAAATTGTTGAAATCGGAAACCCCCAACCTCCACCCGTCCCAATTTACAAGTAAAACCAGAAATCATAGTGAAGAAAGCTTGAAATGGAAACCCCATTTTCAACCATCAAGGAATATCACTACAGATAGAAAACTCAGGTAATAAATTCGACGATGACAATCTTTTTTCTTTCTTGGCGATGCTTCCCTTTGGCGATTGCGAGAGATAGAGACATCAACGGTCACGAATGAGCCGTTGGGCTTATGAACTTACAATTTAAACCAGAAAGAACATCAATATCGTATACTCACTAGAGAGAAAGAACATCAATATCGTATACTTCCAATTTTTTCTTTTGGACACGTTGGGCAATACTCATATCCCCACAACTATATACTAATAGTATAAAAGATGTGAATTTTTAAACCCATTTTTAAA